GTAACCGTAACCAGTCTGCATTTTCCCCAGAAGTCAAAAGACCAGACCGGACCGCAAAAAGACCGCAGACCGCGGTTTTTTGCGGTCTATAGACCGGTTTCGGTCTGCATCGGTTTTAACTGGTTTATGACCGGTCTTTAGGCCAATATTTTTAAATTATTAATCGGTAAATTTATTAACATTTTTAATAGCTTCAAAACGAGCCCAAGAACGTTAAATTCCGTTAGGAATTGGTGCTTCTATAAAATAAGTCTGGTACATCTATTATTCCCCAAAGTAATTTACATTTTAATTCATATCTCTCTCGTTTTTTTACCAAATCATACGTTCTTGGGTGCGTTTTAAAGGGTATTTAAGGGGCTACAAAAGACCGGTCCAAACCGGTCCAAACCGGTTCACGTTAACCGGTCTTTTTGCGGTCTTTACATTTCAAAAATAAAAGACCGTAACCGCAGGTCCGGTCTTTTGCGGTCTTGGTCCGGTCTGGTTACGGTCTTTTTCCAGTCACGAGACCGGACTTCCAAACACTACTCACAATTTCAGCCACCTTGGAGGCTAAATCAAATCGCGTTGGGAAATCTTCCTTGCGAATATGCGAGTTGACAGAAGGATGTGACTTCGAGGCCTTTGACAAGTGCCTGCAAATCCGGATCTTGTCAGGCGTGCCGGGTTGCTGGGATTGGACATCAACAACGAAGGGGGAAGAGAAGAAAGGACCCCGAAGAATAAGTTCCACCTCCTCACGAGAGAAGGGGCCAGACATCCTACCAGCAATGAGTTCTTTCTGCAAATAATCTTGTATATCCTGCAGGTAAGGCAAAGTGGACGGGTTGTTAGGGAGAATGACAGTTTCCGCTAACGCCGGCATGTGCCCAAGGGGGAAGCCATGCCTGAGATTGTCGGAAAGAAGGGGGTAAGCAGAAGAGAGGCCATGTTTGAGGAGGAGGGCGTCGAAGGCGTCTGGATTGTAAGGGTGCGTGATGCGCTCGAAAATAGAAGAGTGTTGTGGAGAGAGAGGGATGAGCGGGAAACGGGGAACGACTGAGGATGAGAAATCGGAATAGGACAAGGCAAGGGGACACGCGACAGCGAAAAAATCCTCAGGCGGGCTTGGTGCGACAAGTCCAGGAGAGGGCGTGATGGCCTTTGCTGCCACAGAAGGAGCAGAGGTGGAGGCGTTCGTCCTTGTGAGCGGAGGCGCATTGGGAAACTGCCTCAGCGCCTCGCACGTTCCAGTTAATGCAAAGGATTTTGTTGTCGGGGGTGGCAAGGCCGAAACCTGGGTTGCATTTCGCCCATGCAAGCTTTCCGTCGGCAAATTTTGCAGGAGAGGTGGACGTGAGGTGAAAGAAAACGGTGTGCCCCTTATGAGCGCAAATGAGGCAGACGGCCGTAGGGGATGACTTGCCGCTGCCTGAGGGAAAGGGCTGGGAGGCCAACGCCTGGGAAGGACCTCGTGGCAGGGACCTCTGGGAAAAGGAACCACCACCGCGGGAAGACGGGCCTGACCGCCCAAACGCCGGCTGGGAAGAGTTGACGAAGTCTTGAAATTCCTTGCGCAGCTTTTGAGTCAAGTTATGACTCTCCTCAGTAAGACCGAGGGCCTTGTCATAATCCGTCGCGCTGAATTTGAGGTGACGACTCCGGTGGTCTTGACGGAACTCGAGTTCCATGACTTTCCAGGCATCATATAACTCATCCCTTTTATTTAGCATGTTAAAAAAATTAAAATGCTTTTCAAACCAAGTAGCATGTTCCCCCTCGCTACCCAGCTTGTCCCTCGAGACCTGAAAGCTCCACATGTTTGCGGCAGCCTCAGACCACTGGCTGCAAGTAAGAGTCAATTCCTTCCCAAAACGAGTGGAGAGCTTCTCTAAATTTAGAATGTAAGTTCCCTTGGTTTCTCCGGGCGCAGGGTTGGATTTGACAGTAGGCAGGGTTGATGCCTCATCAACCAGGACCCGTAAATTCCGAGTAAGGAAGAAGGGGAGAGGGACTGCAACGCAAAGCTCAGTGTCATATAAAGACTGTGGGAATTCAATACGAATAGGTTCCCCAACCACTCTCTCCACATGGTTGGAGCCATCCATACAACGCCGCTTGGAAGTCCTGGCATCCTCTGCAAGGACATCATCGTCCTTCCTTTTCTTCTCCTCCTTTTCTTTCAAATCTTCGTCGGCAAGATGCTTCGCCAGACCAGGGTAAACAAAGTCACGGACGGAAGCAAAGAAAGAAGGGATCCTTAATCGGGCAAGATCCTCGGGATCAATGGTGATCAAGGAAGCTGCTTCTGATCCCGGTTGGGGATGGGCAGCAGGGTCTAGAGCGTTATTCAATGTCTTAGCAGATCTGGCATCGTTGTCGGCCTCGATCTTTTTGTTCCGGTGTAAGATATTGGTCAGCGAAAGGTTCTTTAAAAGTTGGATGATAGCAGGGGAGGTGTGGGTACGCGGAACACGAGGCTGCACACTGTCGGTAGTCGCATGAGACTGAACATTATTGGTAGAAGCCGCAGGAGCGGTGGACGCAGTTGCAGAAGGAGCAGTAGAGGTGTCAGCCATCAGGAAACGACGTCGAAAGTCAAAATATTTTAGCGAGATAACCGACAGGCAATTTCTTAGCGTCAGAACCAGATCTGAAGGTGATGGGAGAAGCACTCCCAGAAATGTAGACCTATATTGGTACCTACATCTGGGTAAGACGTCTGGTTCTGACGCACACGTTATCTTATCCTAAGATGAGTTTACACTCGTGCCTCATGCTTACTCATCACGGAGTCAAGCAAACTTCCCTCTCTGCGTGAGGTTTTCCTCGACGGTTCATTCTACTGGACGGATGCCTTGGCCATCCTGCCCCGAATCACAGAATCATTTTACGCCTCGCCTCTCTTGGAGAAGTTTACTCTGAGTGGCGTATTAAACTCCGACTACATGTTGATCGAGGTTCTAGAAAATATGCCATCGATAAAAGAGTTGCATCTCAAACTCGACAACTCAACTATGGAAAACCCGTATCTGATAAGAAAACTGGTTCAACGGCTTTGTCCGCCCCATACCAATATCCTTCTTCCGAATTTGCAGAATTTCACATTCCATGGTCGCCCCTCGCTGAATGGCCACATGTCTCTGTTCCGCGACATGCTTGTGTACAGATTCAGACAGTGCACTTCGCAACCCACGGGATTGTGCGCCGAGCAAGGAGCTATTTCTCAGCTCCAGTCAGTTTCTCTTAGGACTTTGGGTAAACTTGTCATCAATCAGGATATCCAAGACGAACTAGACATCCTTGTGCAGGAAGGTCTGGTACTTTCAATTTCCACCCTCTGACTGGCATGGTGGCTGCGGTTCCTTGGATCTCGAGTAAAGAAACAATTTTCTAACGGCTAAAGGGCAATTCCGATTGCATATTCAAGTCATACTGCAGCTATCGGCAGTGTTCTGCGAAAACAAAAGTTCAGTTTTTGCAGCTGGTGCCGCATTGATGTTTTCCTCATGACCACTGGCTGACGTTCGCTTTGTTCCAGCACGTTTCTTCAACTTCCCGTCGCCAATCATCGCTTGTTCTCGCAATTTCATCCTAACTTCATTCACGCAGCGTAGGCTATCCAAGAAATGATAGTGATGAACAAGCGACGTGACGTCGCCATCGTGTCGTGTACGGTGTGTGCGGAGGTCGCCAACTTCGACGTTGATCCCTCCTTACGGGAACCTGATGCACAAGTATGCGTAGCATGATTCCGCATTCTGCATCCAAATCGTGATCAGAATGCTAGTTTATCTTTCATTCCAGCGTGGCCGCCACCCATGGCATTGCCCCCTTGCTTCCCTCCATCAACGACTTCAAACGGCCACCTGTGACCTAACATCGGCGCTAATGTCCTCTGAAGTCCCAATCTCGGCTGCTCCCCTACCGACTCTCTGCGGGTGCAGAAGCCAGAAACATCCCTGACCCTTCTCACCGTCACGGTCTTCCGACTGGTGTATCATCAGTGCTCAGGGCGACTACTAGAACAGCCATTTCTCCTCACTATTTATGTTTGATTTATGTACTTTGTATGTGACAATAAAAGAGATCTCATCTGTATGCATGAGTATAGCCAACTTGATTCAGCTCGATGATCATTAGATCTCAGTGTGTGTACACTTTGCAGGCGTCTATCCTCTCTTGCTAACCAGGAACTCCACCACTGGTCACTCATAAGGTCGAAATCACCATTAATAACGGGATGTCCACGATCCATTCACTTCCCAACGAACTCCTTGAGAAAATCTTTGTAGAGGGCGCCTATCTCCCTCCATCTTTCGCGGAAGACTATCCCCGGCAACGCCGTTTTTCAAATATACCGGTCCAACACCCGCTCGCCACCTCACTCTCACAGGTCTGTCGTCGATGGCGGAATATCTCGCATCGTCTCCCCAGCCTTTGGGGTTTCCTCCACCTTTCCCGCTCCATGGAGACCCACCGTCGTCTAAAGGACGACCTGAACAAATCTTTAAATTGGATCCCTGACCACATCAAGCGCTCACGGGACAGCCCCTTGCACATAACGCTCGACTGCACACGATTCACCGACCTCTACCCAGTGCTACGCCTGATACAACCACACAGCGAACGTTGGCGATCCCTGACAATCCTAGTCTCTCACGTCGGCAGTCTACCTTCCGTCCTGGCTCGGTTCACCCGAATCAGCACACCGAGACTACAGAGCTTAACGATCGTGGCCGATATTTACCGCAAGGGCATCATTTCCGCGGGCCCCCTGCCGGGATTCCTCGTCGGACCTACCCCAGCTCTGACGATGATCCGTTTAGAGGGGGTCTACCTTGCATGGAACGAGCGCCCCCTCAGTGGGTTGACCAGTCTTGATTTATGTTTCGCCACACGATGGCCACCAGCAGACAAACTGCGCGCCTTTTTCGATGCGTCACCGTGTCTGGAACAGCTAGTCATCTATGATGACATTGAGGCATTGTTGAAGAACATCGACCCTCGCCCCTTCATGGCCACCATTGAGCTCCGCCACCTCAAGCATCTCACAGTCGAGGCCTATCGTGTCCCAGAGTCGGCAGACGCGGACGTTGCCTCGTTCGTGCAGTTGTTCTCTTTCCCCAGGTTGGAGACTTTGTCATTGAGAGGTCTGCGCATCTCCGAATTGGTGGCCGTGGCACGAATCTTCAAGTTGTTGATATATCCTGGAAATTTTGTCCCTGGGGAGAATGGCGAATTCGTCGCAGAGGGATTGCCAATGTCCCACTTTGCTCCCTTCCTCAAAAAGCTTTGCGTAGCACGGCTGCTACAGGGATAATGGGCGCAATAGGGCAGTGGACTTCCTCTGTTGAGGTAGTTGAAATCGTGTCCCGGAGTCTGCTGAATTGGATGTGGATTCGTTGATGATGTTGTGTATCTTCCCCGACCCTTGACATTGGAAGGGGACGCTCGTATGGTTTGTTCCATCCTTGCAAGTATGGTTGCTACAGGAAAATGAGCCATGTGGCAGATTAACGTGATTTGCATGGCGCTTTCTGCTGCAGGGCTTCATTCAGGTGGACGAGATTCAGGGTATATGAGGCAGAATGGCATTCGAGCTCAGGTCATCGACCTTCATCATCAATAATCGCAGGGATATAGAACGTCAAAACGCCCCCAGCGTCCGCCACATCCCCGATGTAGACATATAGGATCATACAATGGTGTTGGCATATACCTGAACGGAGCGTGATCGGTTAGGTCCAGCCATACGAGATGACATGGTTCACATACATGCAATGGTTGTAGTCGAAACAACATGGCTGTTCAAGAATTTGAGGAAACTTCGGACGGACACGAGAACTGTGAACAATTCTTCGGGATTGCGTGCTTCTTCTGGTGGTTCATCAGGATTATCTTCCTGGGCTGGTCTCCCAGTCAGCGCTAGGCGAAAAAGGTACCAAAAGAAACGAACTTTTGGGGTTCACGCAATCCTTCCACTCCGTCTCCACTTTCACTCCCTCGGTATGGATTGAGATTTGCAGACACTTATTATTGTTCGCTCGGACGGCCAAGATGTCCGACATGGGCCGCAGCCGCTCAACGATCGTCCTGAGTTTCTGTAATGGCGGCAAGAGTATATGAACCTGTGAGGAAGGTCAATTCATCCCACTCGCAAAGATCTTCTGCTAAAAAAATCTCACATCAGGTTCAGGACACATCGGCTCCGAGAGCTTTTCGACGTCCGCAGGTTTCATGACTTCAATCTTGACATCATGCGCCACCCGCACTTTGCGGCCTACGCGCGTCAAGCCAGAGATTTCAAAGCTCAGTAAGGCTTGGTCGTTTTTCTTCGCCAATCTCATGACGACCTCTTCTGTTTCGAAGGATGAGGTTGGAGAGGATGCTGAGGCTGATTTCAATGCAGCCAGTAAGGCCTCCGAAGGAAGGACCATCGTGATTTCGTTGTTCGCATTGGATTGAATGCGGTAGTTTGTGAATATGGAATCTAGTTTGATTTGCCTGGAGCTGATGTCAGGTGGGTGCGTATGATAAGAAGAATAGAACGCACGACCAAACTTGGATGCCACCCTCGTTCGCGTCGCTATTGCAGATGATGTGCATATTCGTCTCCGTAAACTTAATCAAGAATCGTTTTTGGAGTTTCTCAATTGCCTGTACGATCCCTAAGGAAGCTTTAGATAGATTTATACTCACAAGATTGTGCTCACGAAAGAAAGTAGGGACATGCTCGATCGTTGCGCGAAAACGCATATTCGGTGAACTTCACGTTGCGGGTACCCTCAATGTCAAGAGAAATTTCTGTGCACAGGCAGTGATTCCGATACACGTTGTAAAGCTTTTCGAATTGAAGTTCAAGACACCGTCTGAGTCGCCTCGGTTCAATGGAATTTAGGCGTTGAGCCTTGTTACGAGCAGAATTATGCCGACGTTGTCCTAGCAGGGGAAGCCTTGTCAGTATATACCTCAGGGACTCGCTATCATAGACTCACAAAATCTGGAGTTGCAACGCCGGATTTTGTCGTGATCGTAGCGGCGTAGACTTTTGCACGTCGTGGAGAATGGCAAAGAGGCGAACCCGATATTCTCACGACAATTACTCTTCCTTCTCTGCCCCCATGTCTAAACACATCCTACCTCACGCGCTCGCTGTCCCTGCGATTAAGAAGCTTGCCGGAAAACGGATCGTGCTCGCTTCCAACAGCCCTCGAAGACGCGAAATACTGCACACTTTCGTTCGTGTCCACACGTCGGGGTGCGACTCCCAACTCATTGCTTTGGCCGGAATGTATTTTCGTCCTCTTAGGGTCTTGAACCTGACATCGTGCCATCGACGTTTGAGGAAAACTTGCCTGTGAGCTCATTTGCGGACATACACGAGTACCCTGTTGCAACGGCAACACACAAGGCGGTGGAGGTGTACGAAAGGCTTGTGGTATGTGCGCATCTGTACCTCCATGTGCACGCACTAATGGATATCTAGGAACAGGATCCTGACCATGCTCCGGACCTCGTTGTCGCAGGTGAGTTGCCAGATACCGTTCGAGCAGGATGTTTCAGCTGACTCCTTCTACCAGCGGATACGGTGGTCTTGACCCATGCTCAGCCTATAACGTCAGATACAGCGTACTCGGTACTTCCGCAAGCGAATCAGGAACTGCTTGAAAAGCCGCAATCGAAAGCGGATAACCTGCGGATGCTCTTAGATATGAACGGTGGCGTATGTGAGGTTGTTACGGGCTTGGTCGTCGGTGAGCTCTTGACATTTACAGAAAAGTTTCTAGTTAAATTGCATCCTGCAGTGTTTCCCGTCCTTACTTCCCCCGGCTATTCAATCAAGTAAGTACATCTATCCAGTCTGCCTTGCTGCGGAACGTCAATCTCAATCTGGCCTTAGATCAATAGATGAGCGTACTCTCGTGTACTTTTCCGACAGCCCGCCACACATCATCAACGCATACGTAGATAGTGAGGAGGGCATTGACAGGGCTGGAGGTTTTGCTATTCAGGTACGCCGAAGCTCTGTCATCTCTGCCACCTATATTAACGGACATATCCCAGGGATTGGGCGGCATTCTTATACGAAAAATTGAAGGCGATTATAACAACGTCGTCGGGTTCCCTGCGGCGTCATTCTTCAAGCTCCTCGATCTTTTGACCGAAGAGGACCCGGATTTTCTTGACATATGATGTTTAAAACTTACCTGTCCAACCACAGCCCGAGAGAAATATTCCATGCATCATATTCCAACATGACCTTTGAACCCGCGAATATTTGCATGTATTTCCTTACGACAATCGATTAGATTCAATTTACAGAAGTAATGTCCTCGCAGGCCTCATTTCATCCAAGTCCGGACCTTTCGGAGTCAATGGCAAATAGGAGCAAATAACTGCCTGCTCTTACCCTTCCAAACTTTCGCACCCTGCTCTGTAAAGGGCAAGTAAAGGGGCATAGTATTCAATACGATTTGAAGTTACAGAGAGTTTCTATCCCAGACTCGACATATTTTGCACATCGACGTCGTTGAAACGCGTCTTGCTGAGACGTTCACTGTATCCGAGGCCAGCAGCGGTTAGAATGGCATCGAGGAACTTATGGAGCAACTCAGTCATTCGACGAGGGTATGGTCGTCTTGCGGTATGTCTCATTATTTCTACTGCAATTCAGGTGTACTCTGAATAGGCTGAATAGCAACCCGTCACGGTATGCAACAGGATTTCCTTGCCAAAATTCCAATTCTATTCTACAGACGGTCCCGAAGACTAGACAACCTTTCCCAAAGATTTCGACCTCCTTGGCACTTTCGAAAAGCCGTCACGCCATCCAGACTTATGGTTACGCCACGACTCCAGTGAGCGGCCCGAGGTCGCATACTACTTCCTCCTCCAGATATTCGCATACCTCGGTCGTCCAGATTTATCAGACGAAGCAGCTTCTCAGTATCTTACTGTACGTTCTCTCTCTATCATTGCGTTTCCGACAACCCCACTAACCAACCTAACAGGCGTTTGACTCTGCACCTGTCCCACCGACCTCCGACATCGGGCGTGTTCGGACATGCCTCTCAATATATACCAGTATAATCATCCACCACCTCTCTTCGATTCCGTATGATTCACCATTACGCGCGTCCCACCCAAAAATGTTCGATATTGTCAAGTCTCTGTTGCCCTTGCGCGATCGGTTCCTGGCCCACCGGGTACAAGAGGGCAAGGCCCTTGGGTGGGAGGTGACTGAAGAACAAGTTCAAGAGTGGTACGAGTTTTGTGTCCTCACTATCCCGCTGTTGGGGAAACTCATGAAAGAGTTGGAATTGGGCGGTTTTGGAGGGCCAGATGGAACGATGGACGACGGTGAAGGGAAAGATCCAGAAGTCTTTGCAGAAAGACAAATGACTTCATCATATAAATGTCTTCTCAGGGATCCACGCGCACTTTGCTGGACCAATATACTAAATTTCCTCTTTTCGATTTCGCCAGCCTCCCAAACATTGCTTGACTTACCCTGGGCAGTTTCGAAGGGCCAGATGGAACGTCGGATAACGTCGAGGGGAAGGAAGGTTAGCAGGCAGGCAGACGCCCTGATATATCCACCTTCTCAGGCATAATCTGCTTGGCTAATAAGCCTTTGTCCGTTCTCAAATCCGCCAGCCTTTGAAATCATCGATTATCGTCTGCTTTCATGTCACGCTCGCCTCACAATGACATCAGGTTTGTGTTTGCATACAAAGTCGGTTTTTGTTCAAGATGACATCCCATTGCGTTGTTCAATTGAAGGATTCCGTTTTGTATACAAAGGCATTCAAGCAGCATTAGGGAAACCCGGCACGAGCGGTTGCAATGATTTTCGAACTAACCTCCCAGACTCAATGGGTAAACTTGTTTCAATCATCTTTTATTTTGAGTGAGTCCCACAAGGGGAGGTCACTCGTCTTCACGGCGATCAAGTGACCGCACATATTTATAAATATAGATTTGACCGACAGCGCCTGTTCGCCGTACATGTGCGTGAGCAGAAATGTGGACACTTACAAAATAAGAACAGATTACATAGATAACGGGACAATGAACACGTTTAAGATGCCAACCAAGGGTGTAACAACGCCGCCGAAGGAGAAGAGCGGTCGGAAGGACGTATTTTCGAAAGAGTCCCATGAAATGGGACAAATAAAGGATCGCTGACTCGCCGCCCGACTATCGCTTCCAGGCTGACAGGAACAATCGTCGCATTGCACTTCAATTTTCCTGCTGTTCAATCACAAAATACCCACGTTAATTGTTAACATTCTGTTTACCTGCATCATCGAAGTACAATTTAGCAAACTTCCGGCTTTCCTGCATATCTTTGGGTATTTCTCCAAACATCTCGATGATTTGGAGGATGTAGCTTTCCGGCGCAGTTATTTTTCGCTCTTCCAGCTTCCACCGTGGATTAAATAAAGGCTTGCTCATTGTTAGCTCGAATATCTATCACTGTCGATTGAGCTTGGACAGCAAACGTAGCGGCCAGCGGACTCACGAGACAGCCAATACTCCAGACTTCGATCTTCTCATCCCAATCCATGCCCAAAATGACTTCTGGAGCACGGAGGGCTCGTGGTTGAACGAGGTACGTAAAATGATTGTCAATCCAATTTGCTAGTAGTAAAGCGTGAGCAATGAATTATCACTGGTCAACGCGATTTTCGTGATGCACGTACCGTGCCCAACGTCAGTGACTTTGAACATCGGGTTGCCAGACGACCGCCGAACCCTTTCTAAAAGTGTCGGGCTAACCTCTTGCGCCTTGAGCGTTTCAAGATCTTCGATTGGTTCAGACAAAAGGATGTTTGATTGTTTGAGGTCTGAAATGAGGCAGTGGGTTTAAATTTTGATCGGTTTACCTGTGTGAATAAGTCGACAAGATGTGTGCATGTAATCGATAGCGATAAGCATATCATCTCGTGAAATCTGCTTGACCACCTCCATGGGGAAAAACGGAGAGTGAGCAGCAGTGGCATGTTGAAGTAGATGAAGACTGGGACCCAAAAGTTCGAGAACAAGACAGGTGTGAGTACCGTGTGGTCCCTGGTGCTCGAAATGATCTAGCAATTGGCCAACCCTTGCATGTCCGGGGTGATGTGGATTGCAGTCCTGTATGGCTTCAAGTTTGGCCGCTTCTTCGAGATCAGAGGAGTATTTTGCAACTAGAATCTTGAGAGCAACCCGTGAATTTGTGCTGCAAAAGAATTCGTCACGGTCGTCGAACAAAGAATAACCCAGAGGTGGAATTTACGCAGAGTCCAGCGCGAGCCAAACGGTGGAATACATGCCCCACCCAATTATGCATGTGGCGTGAATAATTCCGTAGTAACTCACCCACTGTAGGTTGCTTTGTGGAATTGTAATGAGAAAGAAAGTGCGTCAACTTTTTCCTTGACCAAATACATACCCCACCAAGCCTAGCCCAGCCCAGCCTAGCCTATACCACGTTTCTTTCTTCCAACCACCATGTCGACCACGCTCGGAAAAACGGGGAAGAAGCTCTTCGAAAAGCACCTCTCCTCCAGACCCGCTTTACGAAACATATGTAGACCAACGAATGAAGACTCTACACTATCCGGACGACGTCCAAGAATGATCCATTCACCAGTGCGCACCGCTCCCAGTGCTCTCAGCAAGCGACGCCCGATTCCTCAAATCCGTCCAGAAACGCGCATACTACCTCGACAAGGGGTTTTCCGTCTGCGGGATGCGTTTCGGGTGGGCGTTCATCAGGCCTCTTACCACCCGTTGGAGACTCTGAGGGCATAGGCTTGAACGGAAAGCCCGGCACGCAAACCTGATTATGTGGCTCGTCAGGCGCAAGCTCATGAACAACGTAGTCAGTGCCGGCGTGGGGTTATACCGGTTGTTTGGGACGTCGTACCGGCAATGTGCAAGGCGAATAGCCGGAACACAGTGTGGCGTTTGTTCGGAGGGCTGTTCAGGATGAGCAACTGCGTTGATGGCGGCGATTGAAGGCTGTGTTGTTTTTTCAGTTCCTCAAAGTCAACGAACAAGGCTTCAGACCGATTTTATGGTGTTTTCTGAGGGGCTTAAGAGAAGGCGTGAGGTGTTTGTGGAAAAGGGAGGGGGATGATTGAGATGAGGTGTGAAATGTTTGTGTGGACGATGAAGAGGGATGCGAGGACTCAGAGATGTGAGGTGTCTGGGGAAATAAAGGCGCCAGAGCTGTAAGCTATCTCTGTTTGTGGATGAGGAGGGCATGAGGTGTTTGTTCAACGGCGATGGAGGAGGACTCGTTGGTGTAAGGGGAGGCTTCAGGTATGTGTGCAGAGGTGAGGAGAGGAGTAGCTGAAGGAATGTCGCACAGACATCGCTTCTTGCATGAAGGGAGAAGGTCATAGTCGCGCTGCTGAGCAACGGAAGATAGTGCTTCGAGGAGAGCCACAACTGCCCCATCTTCGACAGACGTTTCACCTGATCGTTGTCGATGCTACTGAACAGCATGAGCCAGAATGGTCGTCCAGGGAGACAATTTCTTGAGTCAGCTCAGAGGGTAATCTGGGATTGGCGCGTTCAGTGTTTCTGCTCACGATCACATGGGGGTAAACGCCATTTATTGATGGGGAATCCTCGTTTGTGGTTTTGTCGGCCAACGATTCAGAGATGAGAGTTGAGGGAAGTGTCCGAGCCGAGACCCTCAAAACTTTGACTGATCCGGAGGGAGGAGTCTGTCGTACCCAGAGCGGGAGAAATGTTGCATGGGGATGGTAAAGAGGAGAGAGGGTCGACGACATTTGGACGTCTGGTGATAGGGAGGAACGTCATTCACCTGCTCTGTCGTTTCCGGTATCGACTTGACACCAGAGAAACAGAAGCTTAATGGGGAGCTTGTTGGTAGTTCGGCCCTGGGGAGACGCGTCGCTTGTAGTGGCATATTGGATGGGCACAATAAAACTGGCCAGTATGGATGTGGGGGGGGGGGGGGGGTAGACGAGGGACGCATTGCGAATCTGGAATAAGGGTTGAATATTAGCCTGCTCTGTCGTTTCCGGCATCGACTTGAACGAGCGAAACAGAACTTTAGTGAGGATCAGTTCGGAAGTGTAGAGACTGGGGAAGATCGGTTCGCAGAAGGGGGGAAAAAGTCGCTGAGGGAAGACGAGACGGTGTATAGACCAGGGTTTGGGCGTTTTCTTGGATAGAAGGGCTATTGGAGAGTAGAGAAACATGATTGGCTGGCTCGGCTTATCCAGGAATTGTTTCGACGCAAGGGAAAGAAACACTGAGTGAAGAGCTTGTGGACAATTCAACTTTCGCCGTTGAATGCTCTTGATGGAGGTGGGTGGTGAGGGTGTGGGGGAGGCGATAGACGCATGGCGAGCCTAGAGCCCGAATTTTAGAGAGGGAAGAACTGGATCGACTGGCTTGACTTACCGTAACACGAGGATACGCAACCCTCATTGAGATAGTTGAAGACCCCTTGTTATGAGGGGTGACAAATGAACTGAACTCGAGGGAACTGGAAAGCGGCAGTCCGCGAGAAGAGGCCGGAGAGTGGTCTGTTGAAGGGATCGGAAGCGTGAAGGCAAGTGGCGTTTGGTGCAGAAGAAGGGTGTTGATCAAGGCCTGTATTGTACGCGAGAATTCTCCGCTCCAGACTATTTTCCATAACGCGGGAATCAGGCACTCTGACGTTTGACGACGTCAAACTTGTGGGCGAGAGGCTACAACTGCGTTGAGATCAGCAATTTGCATTCTTTAGCTAGAGAGGAAGGTGCGATGGAGCTAGGTTTGGATAGGATTTGGATGGAATGTTTAGCGGCCCGTCGAGAGTGTTGTTGGTATAATACCTGGAAGTTCTTGAACCGTGAACAAGCTGAGCTGCGTCAATTTGGACTGAAGAACAACTCTAGTTGGACTGTCGTGGCCACGCCGCGTGATAAAGGCAGGGTGCCTTCGGAGCGTACTGAAGCAAGGGACTGAAGTCGGTAAACTGGCCATGACGGTGAACTTGAGAGACTTCACTAACGTCCTCCATTAAAACAATATCGTTCGAAAAAAAGAAGAGAGCACACCATTACATAAAAGTAAACCCGACAACTTTTGACGTGCCCCCGCCCTTGTTCTTCACTGCTTGCGCGGCTCAGTCCACCTGGTGAGGTCATACCGTACTGCAACCGTGCTGTGGCCCAGAAATCACGAATTTGAAGATTTCTGCATGTCGAGAGTCGAGGCAATGATCATTGTAGGCTGGCAGAGGAGTGAACATTGAAAAGATTCAAAAATGTCAGACCAACCTGGGTAGAGGTAAGAAAAAGCAGCCAGCTGATGGCGGATGAGGTTTGCATCCAAACTGCATCCGACCAACATCCGACCGCTTTCTCATCTCTCCAATTCACAGGCTCAGCTTTGTCGTCCTCAGGTCGTCATCAGGCCTTACAAAAGACGCGGATTTTGTAGTCTGGCTATGGTACCACCGTTCTGGCGTTTATCTTAAGACGTCGTGTCCACCGGTGACTCCTGGTAGGAAACAAACAATTTGTAACCTGTAGGTGAGCATATCTCCTATAGCAACCCCACAGCATGAGTAACGGTTCCAAAAGCATGTCGGACCATGGGTACCACCCAAAAGTTGAGATGAGGAATGCTTTATTCCTACAACTCGCATCTTTGGAATCCAACCGTCAACAATTGTGTTCACGAATCAATTCCCTATCTTCATTCAACTCTTTACTTCCAGCGGAGATCAAAGCTGCAATATTCTACAAGGCCGTACAGCTACCGTGTCCCCTGTATGATGGTGAGGGTGACCCGGTGATAACCCCCTTTTTTCTAGGAAAAATTTGCCGGGATTGGAGAGATCTTGTTTGGTCGTCTCCCTTGCTTTGGAGCAATATACGCCTCTGCGTCACGAGAAGAAGATGCAAGGCTCAAGCCAATCTTCTTCGGGACTGGCTATCTAGAGCTGCGAGTTGCCCCCTCTCTGTTTGCCTTACCAGTGGGGAAGAGCCAGAAGCTTGGGACTACAACCCCCCAGTGGAAATCTTAACCATTTTTGTCTCCATCTCGGCGCGGTGGAAGCAAGCCGAATTGTACATTCCTGACAACCAGCTTTGGTTCGACACCATCTCTGCTGCTCAAAATTCACTGCCCCTCCTTACCACTGCGACTGTTGAATTTGAATCAAGTTCAGATGAACGACGGCCCTTCAGGTTATTTTCAACAGCTCCTCAACTCTCAGCCCTCCATCTTTTCCAGCCCTGGTTTATCGATGTACCGGCTCCATGGCATCAATTGCGGGAGTTTACTTTGACAAACTCATCGGTGGATGAAATTCGTGGATTCCTTCACAAGGCATCCAACATAATTCACTGCTCCATCAGGGACATCGACAGCTCGACCTTCAATAGAGCCTCAGACTTATTCTCTCGACCCCTTGCGTTAGACCGTCTGGAACATATCGAGCTTCGGTTCGAAGGACGGGTAAACACGGCATCAACCCTGATTTTGGGGTCAGTCAAACTTCCTTCTCTGCGTGAGGTTTTCCTCCACGGTTCATTTATCTTCACGGATGCGGCCATCCTGCCCCGAATCACAGAATCATTTTCCGCCTCATCTCTCTTGGAGAAATTTACTCTAAGCGGCATATTAAGCTCCGACCGCATATTGATTCAGGCTCTGGAAAATATTCCATCGATAAAAGAGTTGCACCTTAAACTTGACAACCCAGCTACAGAGAACCAGTTACTGACAAGAGAACTCCTTCAACAGCTTTGTCCGCCCCATACCAATATCCTTCTTCCGAATTTGCGGAATTTCACATTCCATGGCCCTACCTCACTAAACGACCATATGCCTCTGTTTCACGATATGCTTGTGTACAGATTCAGACAGTGCACCTCGCAACCCACAGGATTGTGTGCCGACTCGGAGCAAGGAGTGATTTCTCAACTTCAGTCAGTTTCTATTCGGAGTTTGCGCAAACTTGTCATCGGTCAGGATATCCAAGACGAACTAGACATCCTTGTGCAGGAAGGTCTGGTACTTTCACTTTCCCCCCTCTGATCCAACTCTGATCATGGCTGCTGGGATTCCTTGGTTTAGAAAGAATTTTTGATTACTTAGTCAAATTACGTTGCAACTATTGGTACTCTTCCGTGAAAAAAAAAGTGTTGAGTTTTTGCAGCTGGTACCACACCACGAAAAAGACAAATGATAGATGGTAAGCAGTCGTTGTCACTGATGAAACCAAAGCGGAGGTCATACGCCACAATTATTAGCGAAAAATCGGTCCGCTCCATCGTCTCTGGGATTGCCTCAAGATTGCCTCGAATCCGTGCTCTAACCTTGCTCTTCATGATCAAAGCTTCACCTCTGGCGCAATCCCTCTAGCGCGCTTGCGCAATACACGGATAATTCAGAATGTTGGAAATGTCGTACAGCTTCGGCGCGATCCTTGAAAACTTGAAAACTCAAACACCCGATTTGCTCAGAAAAGCGGGGAAGAAGCTCACCGGGGGTAATACCCGCTTTACAAAACATATACAGACGAACGGAGCAAGAAAAAAAAAATCAGAAATTTGTGTTAAAGACACTATTTGTACGACGTCCAAGAACTTGATGATCAATTCACCAGCGCGCACCGCCCCCAGCCCTCTCAGCAAACGGCGCCCGAATCCTCAAGTCCGCCCAGAAACGCGCGCACTACCTCGACAAGGGTCTCCATCTGTGGGGTGCGTTTCGGCTGGGCATTTCTTACCACCCATTGGAGACGTTGCGGACATAGGCTTGTACGGAAAGCCCTGCGGGCAGACTGTAAGAGGAGGCTTCAGGTATGTATGCTGAGGTGAGGAGGGGAGTTGGAGGATTAGCTGGAGTGTCTGTCTCAGGAATGTCGTCCAGACATCGCTTCGGAAATCGGTGCAATTGCATGAAGGGAGAAGGTCATACTCGCGCTGCTACTCAACAAAAGATAGTGGTTCGAGGAGAGCTGCCCCACTGGCATCTTCGACAGACGTTGTCTTGATCGCTGTCGATGCTGTTGAACAGCACAATATCAAATGAGCCAGAATGGTCGTCAGGGAAGATAAGTTCTGAAGCCAGCTTGGAGAGTAAACTGGGATCGGCGCTCTCAGTGTTTCCGCTCGCTTG